CCTTGCAGATTACACTGAGCCTTTTCCCCTTCTTACACTCGTGGCCTACATTCCAGGAGATCAGGCTTGGCACATGTTAATGAATGTAGGTTTTATTTAGAAACATGACCACTTGTCACTGCTCAGTGTCATATTATCAGGCAGAGACCTACCAACATTTGTTTAGAGTGAGCATTTTCATACTTCCATACGCAGACAAGGGGAAACTTTCATCTCCACGCAGACCTTTTGCTGTGGATTTAGCCTTTTGCTCTGCAGACCTAACTTTTGCAAGTTGGAAGCTTCATGGTGGTGGCAGAAGATCTGTGTGCCCTGAGGATGGCAGAGGACGGCTGTGTGGATGCAGATCTCCCAGAATGTAACTGCGATGTCACAAGGCAGGCATCTCCTTGAGTTTCTTCCATTGTGCATAGCTTTCATGTTACGTGGGCTTCATAGGATAGATGCTGGATCTTTAATCCGTGATTGTTTTTGCCAGTGTTAGTAGAGATGATTTGGTGTTAGAGGAGCTCGTTGGCCATGGCCTCCCGAGAGTTCTTTGTTGGTTGGTTTTCTTGTCCCCCTACTGGGCATGCAGAGCTGGAGGGAAAGGTTAATGGACTTGGTTATGGCTTGGTATTCCAGTTGTACCTGGACTGTATGTGTCATACAAGGGGAATGCTACAGTAGAGAGCCTGAGACACAGCAAAGAGACCCAGTAAGAAGATCCAGTTGGTCCATCATCTGCTATTTAAAGGATGGGCTCCTGATGAAACTGAAATTCAGCCTTAGCCAGTTCACAGCTTTGTAGCGGAAAGTTTTCCCTTTATTAAATAAAAATCTGCCCATAGAGTGGGGGCCTGGAGGGTTTTGTGTATGAGAAAAAATTCTTTCTGTGTAGGTTTGTCAGTACATTTTGGTTACTGACTAGTATAAAGGTTTTAAAACATGTGCAAAATGTTAAAATTTATGTCTAAAATAGTAATTTTGTGCATTATGCAAATGTTTATTTCTTTTTTTTTTCAGTGAGAACATTAGGAATTTTAACTTCATTTTTAAAAATATTTTTCTTGTACCATAACATTCCCCCAGATAAGTTCCTACTGGTGAATAGGATTTACTAATGGTACTTTTGGTTCTATTATATTTAGAATGTGATTTTTTTTGTTTTGGTTTATGGATTTACTAAATTAGTTTGAAGGAAAGTAGCGATAAATATATACATGCAGTGTATATGTGTATATATAGCTATTCATGCAGCTGGATTTAGTAGTAGACTCCTTCTCAGGAAGGTGAAGTCCCATGAGGCACACTGGACTGTGAGAAGACCCATCAGCTACAGGAACTTAGAGATGCACAAGATTTGCTAAACTTACCCAGACTTGTAACATCTGCAAACATCCATTTTGAATTATAAGCCTGGATGCTACCAAAAAGAATGTTGCTCAAACTTCTTAAAATGGTAGATAAATAAAAACATTGTGATACTTTACCCAAGGATTTCCTTTAAAGAAATAATGGAAAAAATATGGGACATTTCTCTTAAATAAGAAAAAAAAAAAGGAATGCTCTCTGTCCTGCAAATATCAACTTTCATAAGTTCAAGGAAGATGTTTGGGGCTTTACTACCCATTTCCCCTCAGCTCACATCTGCTCCCCCCAACACACGCACACACAATGCATTTTGCTATTTGTACTCAAATACATGTTTTAAAAAATGAGAAAGGAAAACCACTTTAAATGTTCACCCCCATTGACTTTACTGAGGTTTACACACTCATTTGAAAGAGGAACTTGTCCCTAATGGACTATATGAACAAGCATTTCCATGTCACGATGCCCTTGACATACTACACACTCACTGCTGGCTATTGGAACCCATTCAATATTATACAAGATTACTAATCTTGTAAATTATTTGACTAGTGTAGACAATATCTAGTAGAACAGTGTTTACTCACATTCTTTTGTGCCTTAACTCTTTTGATCATTTTTGTAAGTGAATTTTGAACCAAGAAAATGAATAAATTTCAGTATTTAACAGACCATTTGTAAATGTTGGACTTAGGGGAAAAATTTAAGTATACATTTAATACCAACTAAATTAAAAATAAAATATCCTCACTAAGTAAAATTATTTTATTTAGAATACTAATTATTTATGTTTATCAGGCATTTAAGTCGTGCCCAACTTTGCGCCAAGTGCTGAGGGTCACACTGCAGGGGAGGGGGAAAACCAAAAGTAGAAATTCACAGTTCCAGCTTCCCAAGGAATTTAACATGGGCAGGGGAACTTGTGCATAAATAATACCAGGGCCGTGCCCTCTTTAATACCCATCACCAGGCTAACCCATCCCCCCACCCCCCTCCCCTCTAGAACCCTCAGTTTGTTTCTCAGAGTCCATCATCTCTCATGGTTCGTCTCCCCCTCCGATTTACTCCCCTTCATTCTTCCCCTCCTGCTATCTTCTTCTTCTTTTTTTTTTCTTAACATATATTGCATTATTTGTTTCAGAAGTACAGATCTGTGATTCAACAGTCTTGCACAATTCACAGCACTCACCATAGCGCATACCCTCCCCAATGTCTATCACCCAGACACCCCATCCCTCCCACCCCCCACCACTCCAGCAACCCTCAGTTTGTTTCCTGAGATTAAGAATTCCTCATATCAGTGAGGTCATATGATACATGTTATGCACAAACAATGAATCATGGAACACTACATCAAAAACTAATGATGTAATGTATGGTGATTAACATAACAATAAAAAATTTAAAGAAAAAAAAATACCAGGGAGTTAAAATAAGGGAAAGCAGGAAGAAATCAAGCGTGGAATGAAGTCTTCTGCCAAACTCTCACTCCACACCAAACCCTGATGATATTGAGGTTGCTATAAAACCCCACCCCAAAGCATCGTCAGCATTCAGATCCTACTGGATCTGAAGACAGGAAGCTGGTCAAGTGGGAGAAGTTCCCAAAAGGACTTTTTTACAGAGGTAAAACCAGGACAGACGTCTCAGTGCAATGAGCTGTTCTGTAGTCCTATTTCCGTGTGTTTGTTGATGGTAGACTGTCCTTTCAGCCTGGGCCACTAAAGCAGGACGGCCAGGGCCACGTCAAATTCCAAGCCCATGCCATGGTCATTGATAAAATGTGCACCCACAGCTTTGCACCCCGTAGCTGTTCTAAAACTATTCACTGATTGACCCTCAAGTGAGTTTTGTCTTACATATGAAGAAAATGTGAGTAGGTTGTATTTAAATGTTCTTGGAATTATTGTTCAAGGCCAACACCTTGAACTGCCCTGGGGGCAGGGTACGATATGTACTTACAAAGCTAATTAGAGAAGTCTCACCTTGAATGGAATTATGAGTCATGATAAACAAAGAGCAACACATGTTTTCGGTTTCCTATTAATAGAATATATTGTGGAGTATGAACATAATTTTTCAAACACACATTTTTTTTTCAAAACGGTATAAGGTAAATGCACCTAAGAGCACCTTTACGAACAGAAAATGTTATTCAGATATAGATATTCTTATACCTGAGTGGACTTCCACATGAACCTCACTTCAGACTTACTCAAAATCAGACCTGATCCTATCATTCCTTGGCTGACACATCTTGGCAAAGTTCCTTTTTATCTTTAAACTGCACACAACGCCGTCGTCATGTCCCTGCAGGACCTGTATAATCTTACTCCAGTCTGTCCACCCGTCTTGCTTCAGCACAACCGCAACTCATTTTCTGATTCTCTTCCCCACCCTCCCCACCCCTAGGCCCCCTGACATTATGACACGGTGCCTTCAAAAATCTCTGCTTTTCTTCTCTGTTTTCCAGGCCAGAAATGTTCAGGTTGGCTTGTATCCACCTTTCAAGATGCAGCTCTAATGTTACTTCTTCATTTCCCCTCTTTCAGCAAAGTCTAAGCTCCTCAGTGACAGGAAGGAAACTTCACTCCTCACTGTATTTCTGTCTCCTAGTGCTATGTCTACCTACCATCACAGATGTTTGTAGAAGGAACACAGACATGAGCAAATGGGGAATGAATGGGTGAAGAATTACTAAACGTGGCCAGACAGAATTGTTCACTCCTTATTTATTAGCCAGGGACTTGGTTCATTTCTTTAGTTTAGTTCTTACCACACTGTGTTATATTTTATTGTGTACATGTCCAGATTTCCAGTCAGATTGTACATTTCGTTAGGAAAATAATCAAGTTTTATTTATTTTGTCTTCCCAGCATCTGACACATAGGATGTCCACACATGATTGTTAGATAAGCAGCAGTCTTAAGCAATTTGGTTTTTACTCCTTCCTGAAAAGAATGGGAAAACATTTTTTCTAAAAAAACATGCTGTGTAACAAAAAATACTGCACTGAACTAGGCTTTGCAGGTGAAGACTGGCTGGTGGTTGGCCTTGTGTCTGCCATTGGCAATCCAATGATCCTTAGTCACCTTCAATGTAGTCTGGCATGAAATGCATATGATCGCTCACTGATAGTTCTTCTTAAGTGTGCTTTCTTCTTTTAACTGAGTTTCTGCCACAAGGATGCTGAAATACATCCCATCAGGACTGGAGTAATCAGAACTGTGAATTCATAATCTGTTTGGTGACAATCCATTGGAAATGTTCATTTTTTTTCCTCCCAGGTATTCTTCATATGAGTGTAAATTACATAATGTGTGGAAATAATTTTTATGACACCATGAGGTTTCTGTCTCTGTTATATCATTATCACTATATTGAGCATCATCATAGCTGATATTTATTGAATATTTCCCATGGACCCTGCATTATTCAACTCATTCAAATATCAGATACTCTTCCTTTACTTTTATGTTATAGATGAGGAAACAGAGACACGGGAAGGGTGTACAATTGCTCCAAACTACACAGCCATGAAGTGGCTGGGCTAGGCTGGATTTTGGCTCTAGGTAACTTGGCTTTAGACCCAGTGCTCACTTTTGCCCACAAGGGAAACTTGAGTGAAGTCTCTCCTCTGCCCACAGGGTAAAGAAGTTAAAGGAGACCCTGGTTGCCGTACAGCAGCTGGATAAGAACATGAGCAGCCTAAGGACGTGGCTGGCTCACATTGAGTCAGAGCTGGCCAAGCCCATAGTCTATGATTCCTGTGACTCGGATGAAATACAGAAGAAGCTCACTGAGCAGCAGGTAAAACCTAAAACAACTAAAGGAAGTAAGTAGGCTCTTGAACATCTGTGCTCCTGGCCAGGATACAGAGGCAGATGTGAGATGGTGAATTGAGATGGAAAATCAGGAGGAAGCTAGACAAGATTGCTGAGGGAGGGAAGACTTGGGCAGGGCAGGTCTTTGGGGCAAACAGGTCCCATGTCACTAAGGAGTCGAGTCTAGAAGATATGCTGTCATGGGGTTAATGTCATTGGTGCACCAGGAAGACATCCTAAGCTGCTTGAGCCTCAGTGATGTGTCTATAACAGAGCTGACACTTTGTTTATTTCTTGGTGGGTCATGAGCCCACTACTACATATATAGAAAAGAGACCTTTTCTCCCCCTGCATATAGTGTTTGAAGAAAGATTACAGTGTATTCTTAGAGTTTTTAGAATCTAAAACATTTTGTTTTGCAAGAAGTGTTGCATGATCTTCAGACCACACACTGTGATTTTACCTTCATTTGTGTAGCAAAGATAGCACATCATACCGGCATACAATACACTACCCAAAAAAAGCAAAAAAAGAGTGACGATGAAAAATGCATACAGAAAGGATTTTTTTTTTTTACCTCCTATTCCCCTTCCTTATTTTTACTAACCTTAGCAGACTCCAATGGTTACTAGTAAATGCCATAAAACCCCCATAAGAAGTATTGCTACTCCATGCCCTTAGATTGTCCTTGAAGATTCTGTCCACACTTTTGTTACTTCCATTGCATTTAGGCCATGATAGCCAAGTTGCTTAACTTAAAAATACCACAAAATATAAACAGACCTATTTATGAAATCTTATGAAAGAGTTTATATACTTACTTTATTTTATGAACTATTTAAACCAATGAAAATAGATATTAAAATACAGTTTTTAGGTATTGGGATTATTTTAAAAGCATTTCTTCTTTTAAAAAAAATTGTTAGCAGGACATTTTTCCATTTTTGTAAGATTAAAGCCCTGTGATGGATTCTCTCATGTTTGAAATTCTGGTAATTGAGCTGTTGGAGTTATAGTTGGCCTCCAGTTCCCTGAATACTCCTGGAGAACATGGTAATGATATCTACCAGTGAGAAGTGTTTTAAAACAGTTAAAATCCTAATAGTACTGTAATTTAGCAAATGTAAGAAAATCAAAACAGTATCTAATTAAATATGGCAAATTTAGCTCTGGCTGCCATCTTGCGTCCCCGCGTGTGTGCACCTAGTCTCAGCGGGTCCGCCCGAGACCCCCTGAGCGCCAACCCTGTTCCCCCACATGGTCCCATTTCCACTCCAACAAGATGAAAGAAACTATCATGAACCAGGAGAAACTCGCCAAGCTGCAAGCACAAGTGCTCATTGGTGGGAAAGGAACTGCCCGCTGAAAGAAGAAGGTGGTTCATAGAACGGCTACAGCAGATGATAAAAAACTTCAGTTCTCCTGAAAGAAGTTAGGGGTAAACAATACCTCTGGTATTGAAGAAGTGAATATGTTCACAAACCAAGGAACAGTGATCCATTTTAACAACCCCAAAGTTCAGGCATCACTGGCAGCGAACACTTACACCATTACAGGCCACACTGAGACAAAGCCGCTGACAGAAATGCTACCCAGTATCTTAAACCAACTTGGTGCAGACAGTCTGACTAGTTTAAGAAGACTGGCTGAAGCTCTGCCCAAACAATCTGTGGATGGAAAAGCACCACTTGCTACCAGAGAGGAGGAGGATGATGAAGTTCCAGATCTTGTGGAGAATTTTGATGAAGCTTCCAAGGATGAAGCAAACTGAACTGAGTCAACTTCTGAAGAACATAAAACTTGAAGAAGTTACTGGGAGCTGCTATTTTATATTATGACTGCTTTTTAAAATTTTGTTCATGGATCTGATAAAATCTAGATCTCTAATATTTTTAAGCCCAAGCCCCTTGGACACTGCAGCTCTTTTCAGTTTTTGCTTACACACAATTCATTCTTTGCAGCTAATTAAGCTGAAGAAGCCTGGGAATGAAGTTTGAAACAAAGTTAATAAAGTTCTTTGCCTAGGGGAAAAAAATGGCAAATTTATCATTTGCCTTACCTACTTCTAAACCCCAATAAAATTATAGGAAAGGGGAAAAAAGGTCAAAACCCACAATGGCAAAGAGACCGGGAAAGAAGATGATAGAGATGACAGACAGCCATCAGAATTTTGGAAGGCAGAAGTGGATAGATGAATAGTTACTGGTGTTTGCAGAATGGAGGATAGAAAGCTGACTCCTGCCACAGAATTCCAAGAAGTCTCCGGGAGTGGAAAGAGTAGGTCTGGGGGGCGTTAAAATGGAAGATTTCTTGAAAGTCTGAAGAAGGAGTGGTTTGACTGGCAGATTCCCTCTAATCCAAGCTAGCCAGACCACTCTGCCTCATTCACTCCAGCAGAATACCCGAGGCTTACTCTCTGGAGGAGGCAAATCCAGAGGGACTTTGGGTTTGGGGCTACAGGGCACCACTGAGGCTGGAGCCACTATATGAAGAATAGAGAGATTAAATGAAATGCTCTGGGAGGGAAAAATGGAACAAGACGAAACCAGAGAGGGAGACAAACCATAAGAGACTCTTAATCTCAGGAAACAAACTGAGGGTTGCTGGAGTGGTGGGGGTGGGAGGGATGGGGTGGCTGGGTGATGGACATTGGGGAGGGTATGTGCTATGGTGAGCGCTGTGAATTGTGTAAGACTGATGAATCACAGACCCGTACCCCTGAAACAAATAATACATTATATGTTAATAAAAAGAATTTAAAAAAAAGAAATGCTCTATACCAGATAGTATGACTCCCACCCCATTGCCCCAGCTCCCACCATGTCACTAGCCAGCCTTATATCACAGCCAGGATTCATGAAAGAGTTTTAAAATCCAATTCAGTTATTCTATTAAAGTCCCCCACAAAAAATAAAGAAAATAGAGAGTAAGAAATTATCAATGTAGTAATATAAAAAAAAAAATTCCCCAAGCTGAAAAATATGTAGAGTTGACTCTTGAACAATATAAGTTTGAACTGTGTGGGTCCACTTATTTGTGGATTTTTTATGCAACAAAATATGCAGTACTGTAGATTATTTTTCCTTCCTTGTTATTTTCTTTTCTCTAGCTTGCTTTATTGTAAGAATACAGTACGTAATACATATACCCTACAAAATATTTGTTATTGGATTATTTATGTTTTTGGTAAGGCTTCTGGTCAGCACTTGGCTATTAATAGTTAAGTTTTGGGGGAGTCAAATGTTATATGTAGATTTTCAACTGTGTGCAGGGTTGGCGATCCCAAACCCCACTTTGTTCATGGGTCAATTGTACTTCTAGAGCACAAGTCCTACAAATGCCCAGGAAAATTTAAAACAAAGCAAAGCCCTTATAAAATTACAGAACATAGGAGACAAAGAGAAGATCTTGAAGGTTTCCAAGATGAAAAAGTCTGATTTCTCCAAAATAAGGATGGAAGCTAAAAGATAATGACACAATGCCTTCAAAAAGCTGAGAAGATTATTTATAATTTATGACACTATACCTGCGATTTAATATATAAAATACTTACCTCTTAATGCATACATCCTCAGGAAACTAATGAAAGATAGATTGCATATACTAAAATGATAAGAAAAATAATATTCAACATGAGAGAGAGAGAAGTCAATGCCCAGGATGGATGGTGAGGGACTGTCCCAGATACCAGCTGCCCCGCAGCCTGGAGCATCCCTGTTCAGATTGGAGTAGGGAGTTGGGTGCTCTGGGAGCGATGTCTCCAAGGAGTAAGACAGTCAAACTTGATTACCTGATGGGCTTAACCATACTGGAAGGAGTTTTATTAACTCCATAGAGAGAGGATAGAAGCTAGGAATAGTTGTGTTTTAAAGAGAGGGAGAGAGCTACTGATTCCATATAACACAAAAAGTTATATAAGAAAAAAAATATAACCATAGATAGTTTGTTGCTTAGATATAAAAAATATTAAGTAACCATATTAAATGACCAAAATCATGCAAACAATCATTATCTCTTCAGCTATAAGATGTGCTGAAACAGTAACTGGAGCCACGTCGAGTCAGGTAGAAGTTTATTCCATCACTACTGTAGAAACATAGATAATGTCTAAAATTTAAAAATCAAGAACTAGCAACATAAACATGCCACTTAGAAATACAGAAGTTAAAACCAAAGACGGAGCTACAAGAGATGGAAATGGTTACCTCTGGAAAATGAGAATCAGGAGTGAAAAGGGAAGCTTAGCAGTAATTTTTGACTTGTTAATATATTAATATTTGTTCATACTGCCTTTTAATTCAATTTTAAGTTAAAGTTGAAAAAAACAACAACTGTATACCAATGGTTAAAAGTAAGGACTCCCTGGGTTCAAGTCTGAGCTTCGCCACTTTTCTGCATGACCTGAATAATGAACTATTTTAACCCTTGTGTATACAGAATGCTGATAATCAGAGTACATGGCTCACAGTGCTATTATAAAAATTAATGTGAAAAACACTTAGCACAGCACCTAGCACAAAGTGGGTGCTTAGTAAATTTTATTTCAATCCTATCACAGTTTCCTTTGTGGCGAATGTTTAACCATGATGCTGTAAAAATTATGGCATTTGGGATCCATGTTGTAAAAGACAGATAAATAGTAATCTGTCTCCAAAGGGGAAAATTCTCTTAAATATTTAAAAAGAAATTAAACTCATAAGATATACATTTTCTTCTATTCCCCTCTCTGGAGTTTCCGTATGTTTCTCTTGCCAATGTACTTAATCCTTACATACTTAATTGGGCAGAAATATACGTAGACTTGAGATGGCTTCAGAGGACATTTTGTCAAATTTCTCTGTGTTATAGATGAAGAAGTGTAAATTTAGAGACCCTGTGTGCCAATTCAGGACCATTACTGATGGAGGTTAAAGCTGAGACTAAAATCTTTATCTGTAATAGAGTATTTACCCATAATTATAACCCCCCCTCAGGCTTATTTAACAA